CAGGTGCTCTCCTATCTTTCCTCTCCTCTGTTTGTGGTGGCCCCTTCGGTTCAAGATTGTTTTTCCAAGGCTTTGTTTTTGTTGGCATTGGCCTCTGGGGGTCGGGTAGGGGAGCTTCATGCTCTCCTCCGGCGCAGGGGTTTCTGCTCTTTTGGTCCTGGGGGTAGGTTTGTTCGTTTGCAGCCTTCTCCTTTTCTGGCGAAGAACGAGACGGCTGCTTTCCGGAGGGGTCCTTGGGTCATTGATGCTTGGTTGGTCAGGCCGGGGGTGCATCATGTGTTGTGTCCTGTTGCTGCTCTTCGCCGTTACCTGCGCGCTTCAGCCGGAGTGGCTGGGGATGCGCTTTGGGTTGATCCGGTTTCCCTCGTTCCCTGTTCCAGGGCTCGGGTCTCTCAGGTTGTCCGCAGGGTTATTAAGTCTAGCCAGCCTGCGGTCTATCCTCGTGCCCATGACGTTAGAAAGTTTGCGGCTTTGGCTGCCGTGTTTGGTAATATGTCTTGGCCACATATTCGGGCGCGTGGATTTTGGAAGTCGAACAGGGTCCTGGCCGCCCGTTATTTGGTGAACGTCCCTGCTCCTCGTCGGGCCTGTGTTGCTTTGGGTCGCAGGTTGCAGCCAGTTGTCTCGACTTCGAGTTGAGGGGTTAGTGGCCGCCGCCTCCCGGGTAAGTCCCATTTTTCTTCTCTTTGGGTATGTAGCTCCTGGGAGCCATAGGGGCTCCCCACAGAAAACCAGCGTTGAATGTAATGAAACGCCATTTTCTGGGTGAGCCCCGGAGGCTCCCTGGATACCCTCCCTCCCATCCGGCCGGCGGGATTTTTCGCGTTGGTTGAAGCCTAGTTTCCGAACTGACGGCAGCCGGCGTGGTGAGGTCCGGGGCCCCCCCTCCCCCTCCCGGGGAGGGAGGGCTGCGCAGACGACCGGCGCGGCAGTAAATTGATTGTTTGATTGTTTTCCTTGGGATTGTAGGGAGTTTTCTGCCTCTCTGTTCGGTTTTTGTTGTAGTTTTTTACCATGTGGGGTTTGTTTTGTTACGCCTACCTTTCTGGGTGCCTAACCCCGGTCGATGGCAGATAAGGAAAACCCCCAACCATATGGGGTTTTCCAGGGCCATTGCCCCCTGAAACCTCTCTGAAGGGGCCAGGTTCTGGCGCTGGTCTCTGGTAGGTCTGAACTCCATAGCTAATGTCCCGGTCTAACATAACATACATTAGCCCGATAAGCTCCAGGGAGCCTCCGGGGCTCACCCAGAAAATGGCGTTTCATTACATTCAACGCTGGTTTTTTTGCTGTAATATTATTCAATAGTGTGTAGTTTGATATATTTATATAATAAAATGAGTGAATCATTGCTGTACTCAAAAATATGGTGTGCATATTGTTGATTCAATTATGTTCATCAATCAGTGAACAAATACTTTGTCGGTTATTACACTATAATCACAGGTTATATATAAGTATTTGCATGTTTTGTTCACTATAACGAACCACTAAGTAGCTATTATGAGTCAAAAAATAACGAGGAGTGACCGCCGTGACAGCCAGCCACTCGCGCCCTCCCTCCAGTCATCTGACTCACCCACATTCTCCTCCCACCATAATGTTTTTGCTATAATTCACTTTATACAGACGTTATATATAAGTATCTACATGTTTTGTTCACCATAACTGTATATCTAAGCTTGTATGGTGAGTAAAGGCACAAAGACGTAGTGAATTGAACGATATGGAAGAAAATGTAGAATAGAACCAGTGAAGAGTAGAGGTTCCATAGGCAAAATCAGAGAACACTGTATAAACATCAGAGGTCCGCGGTTGTTCAACGTCCTCCCAGCAAGCATAAGAAATATTGCCGGAACAACTGTGGACATCTTCAAGAGGAAACTAGATTTATTCCTCCAAGGAGTGCCGGACCAACCGGGCTGTGGTGGGTATGTGGGCCTGCGGGCCGCTCCAAGCAACAGCCTAGTGGACCAAACTCTCACAAGTCAAGCCTGGCCTCGGGCCGGGCTTGGGGAGTAGAACTACTCCCAGAACCCCATCAACCAGGTATCAACCAGGTAGGACCTCACACAGTCAGCTGATGGCTGCCGCCCTCAAGGCCAGACGCACTAATATTTCTCCTCCAACAATACTGTGTGGTGTTATTACGTTATATACACACATTATATATAAATATCTACCCGTTTTATTCACCATACTTGTACAAATAAACTGGTATGGTGCCCAAAGACCATCGTGGTAACCAGTAAACAACACCGTCGTCTGCACGGTGGCCACCGCCCTCACCAAAATGGCGGCTCCAAACCTTCTCTTGCTGTTTATACCCTCTATACACACGTTATATATAAGTATCTACATTTGTGTTTACCATAGCGAACCACTAAGCTGGTATGCTTAGTGCAGTCAATAAAAGGTGGCCACACACAGTCAAGACATCGCCACCACCCTCCCTCCCACAGCATTACTCCTCCCTCCATGGCGCACAGCGCTAAATATTACCACAATCCTGCTATTATCAGAACCCTGGTCAGTTTTATCACAGTCAGGGGTCTTCTGTAATAATATCATCGCTACATAATAGCATGAACAAGTATATTTTGGCAATTTTAGGCGATGCTGTGGTCACAAGCTGAACAGCAGTGCTGTTAGCTCATGCTGCGTGCGTCAGGCTTGGATGCTCACTCAATACCAATAACACCCGGGAGTTTGGCCCACGATTTTTTTTTTAAATGGCGTCTGTTTACAAGAGCCCTGATGAAGGTGTGGTGAACCCCGTGTATCCGCGGGCCGTTTAAATCTTGCGTAGTACTCCAACACGTCATATGACGTGATGCACACTTTAAGGGTTAAACATAATACAGAGTACAAAACACAATCAAATGTACCCATAGTAGGAAAACAGCATGTAAAGGATTTGGGAATAATAATGTCTGACGACCTAATGTTTAAGGAGCATAACCAAGCAAATATTGCGACAGCCAGAAAAATGATAGGATGGATTACGAGAACTTTCAAATTCAGGGATCCCATCACAATAGTTGTACTCTTCAAGTCACTTGTGTTGTCCCGTCTTGAGTACTGCTCAGTACTCACTCACCCCTTCAGAGCAGGAGAGATTGCTGAAATAGAGGGAATACAGAGAACATATACAGTACGCATAGACGCAATAAAGCACCTAAATTATTGGGATCGTCTCAAAGCCCTCCAAATGTACTCACTAGAGAGAAGACGAGAGAGATATAAAATAATATACACCTGGAAGATACTGGAGGGCCAAGTACCAAATCTACACAGTAAAATAACAACGTACTGGAGTGAACGATATGGAAGAAAATGCAGAATAGAACCAGTGAAGAGCAGAGGTGCCATAGGCACAATCAGAGAACACTGTATAAACATCAGAGGTCTGCGGTTGTTCAACACCCTCCCAGCAAGCATAAGAAATATTGCCGGAACAACCGTGGACATCTTCAAGAGGAAACTAGATTTATTCCTCCAAGGAGTGCCGGACCAACCGGGCTGTGGTGGGTATGTGGGCCTGCGGGCCACTCCAAGCAACAGCCTAGTGGACCAAACTCTCACAAGTCAAGCCTGGCCTTGGTCCGGGCTTGGGGAGTAGAACTCCCAGAACCCCATCAACCAGGTATCAACCAACAGTGTTCTCTGATTGTGCCTATGGCGCACCTGCGCTTCACTGGTTCTATTTTGCATTTTCTTCTATCTCGTTCACTCCAGTATGTTGTTATTTTACTGTGTAGATTTGGCACCTAGCCCTCTTGTATTTTCCATGTGTATATTATTTGATATCTATCTCGTCTCCTTTCTAGTGAGTACATTTGTAGAGCTTTAAGACGATCCCAATAATTAAGGTGCTTTATCGCGTCTATGTATGCCGTATGTTTTTCTGTATTCCCTCTATTTCAACAATCTCTCCTACTCTGAAGGTAGAAGTGAGTACTGAGCAGTACTCAAGACATGACAGTACAAATGATTTGAATAGTACAACCATTTTGAGGGGATTCCTGGATTTGAAAGTTCTCATAATCCATCCTATCATTTTGAAATGTTTGGGCAGGCTGTTAAAATATTCCTTCTTGTTTAGTTCATTTTTACACAGCTTTGGGATGGGAAAATTTGCAATTTTCAGAGCGACATACAGTACCTGTATTTAGGATATTTCTGGAGTTTCTCAGGCAGAAAAGTCATTTAATATTTGCTGTGATCTCAGTGTTCTTTGGGTGGACTGTGCCACAAACTAGGGCAACACTAAGTGTTCCTCTAGTTCCCTTAGTTCCCCAAGCTTCACCCACAACTTCAAGCGTAGGTTAGACATATACAGTATATGAATGAGTTTGGGTGGGTATAAATAGGAGCTGCCTCGTATGGGCCAAAAGCCTTCTGCAGTTACCTTCATTCTTATGTTCTTATATTCATTACTCGGATAAAATGGAATAGACATGATTTGCAGAATAGAAGTGATATTTTGTAGCGTTGAATGACTTCTTGTCCCAACACTGACAAGAAAAGTCTGTGATGCTATCACAGTATCTAAGTTCTCATTCTTTGTTTTGTTCTGTTTTTCTGGGGGGGAGGTAGCCCCGTCAGCTCCCCGGAGCTATCCAGGCTGATATTGCTAATATTAGACATTGGCATCAGTCAGTGTGAATGGAGGTCTTTAGGCCTACCAGGGACCAGGAGCCAGAACCTGACCCCCTCAGAGAAGCACGAGGAGCAATGGCCTATAGAAACCCCTCATGTGGTTGGACGCATTCTGTGTCTGCCATTGACCAAGTCAGGCACCCAGAAAGGCAAGCATCCCAAAACAATCCTCTATTCTGGTTAAAAATTGCTACGGAGAGCCGAACTAGTGGACAGAACTCCCCAAACAAAAACGAGCATGACGTCACCACGTCACCGCGCTGCCATCTGCGCAGCTTTCCCCCCTCCCCGGGAGGGGGAATGGGGAGCCCCAGACCCCTCCTGTCGGCTACCCAAGACCCCCAGTTCTCAGGCTGATGTGCTTGGAGAAAGTCGTGTGCTCTGGCTCCTGCATTGGTGCTCAGCTCTGTGCCTGTGTGGTGTGGTGGCTGTCTTATTGGGGGTGCGCAAGCCAGAAATAATTCTTCAGTACTCGGGCTACATGCGCCTAGATTTACTTTCCCTAGGTGCCCGGTAAGTACTGTCCTTGGGGCTTGGAGCCTCCTTCCACAAGTTCCTTGGGTGTTTGCTGCTCAGCTTTTGGCCGCCCTTTGTGTGCTTCAGTGTTCTGGCATCCTTGTTCACCTTAGGGTAAGAGGCAGTTTGTATTGGTAGGGGCGCAGGGTTCTGGCATCCTTGTTCTGGTAGGGGCGCATCCTTGTTCACCTTAGGGTAAGAGGCAGTTTGTATTGGTAGGGGCGCAGGGTTCTGGCATCCTTGTTCACCTTAGGGTAAGAGGCAGTTTGTATTGGTAGGGGCGCAGGGTTCTGGCATCCTTGTTCACCTTAGGGTAAGAGGCAGTTTGTATTGGTAGGGGCGCAGGGTTCTGGCATCCTTGTTCACCTTAGGGTAAGAGGCAGTTTATATTGGTAGGGGCGCAGGGTTCTGTGCAGCTAGTTTCACCTCTCATAGGGGTGCAGGGTTCTGTGCAGCTAGTTTCACCTCTCATAGGGGTGCAGGGTTCTGTGCAGCTAGTTTCACCTCTCATAGCGGCGCAGGGTTCTGTGCAGCTAGTTTCACCTCTCATAGCGGCCGGCTCTGTTCCGCCTGGGTAACTGGGGTAACTGTGCTCTTGCGGGGTTTTGTTTTTCTTTGTTTTCCCTGCTTAGTAGGGGGTCTTCCTTTTGTTGTTGACCCCGGTGTCTCTGTTCTGGTGGTACCTCCTGCATGGTCCCCGTGAGTGTACACGTCCCAGGGGTTCAGTTATTTAGAAAGTTGTTTGGTGGACTTGGAAGCCGGTTAGCAGTACCCTGACTGGGCTTCCCTGAGTGTGTTCCGTCTCAGGACCCTGGGAATCCCCACGATGGCGCGTGGGTCCGATGGATGTGACCCCTGAGTTTCCCCTTCGCTTTGTGCGAGTTTGAGGGTTGCTCTGTTCCCTTGTCTCGGTGACTATTATTATTTTTGTCTCCATCACACTGCCTGCTGGGTCAGCGACACTTCCGACCCGGAGTCTTGCGAGTTTTGTTGCTTGCTGGTGACTCGGTTTATCAAGTCTATTGATGACGATATTCGGATACAAGCAGTGCAAGCGTTGCATGTTAGGTTTCGGTTGTTGCAACGCACTAGTTTGGTTGCTGACCCGGAAGCCCCGAGGCTGCCTCGTTTTGGTTATAGGGACCCGAACTTTGGGGTGTTGTTCACTTCGACCTTGGTCAAGGGGGTTCGCACCCCCTTGTCCCTCCTCTGCTGTGGTTCGGTCTGGTCCCCTCCCTCCCCTGCATCCGGCTCCAAAATGTCGGAGGGTTTCGGGGTCGGGGTCGGGGCAGGGTTTAGGTGGTGTTGAGACTCAGGGGATGCCCCTTCCGGGTTGGTGATGGAGGCATTCAAGTCATTCCTCCCTGCCAAAGCATCTGGGTCTGACCAGTCGGTCCCTCTTCTTTTGGCTTCTACGGCTGCCTTTTCTTTTGAGGCTGAGACTTTGGGAGATGACTCGGCCCCGGATCCTGATATGGTGATTCCCGGGGCTGGGGAGGGACTGACTTGGGGCCTTGGGCCTCGTTGGACCCCCACCTGGGTTTTTCTACCCCTCTGAGCAGGGCTTACTGTTACAAGGAGTAGGGTTTTCTCCCCCCCCCCTTCTTCGTACGAGTTGGATTTGGTGTCTGACCCTCCCCGGGTTCGGTTCCGTGTCCCTTCGGGCCCGCCCGTCTTTCCGGAGGTTTTCGGCTTCCTGCATCTCGCCTCCTGTGGTGCGGGAGACCTTTGCGGCTTACCTCCTGCACGACCCAAATTACACCTTTATCATGGATCTGTCTACGTTCAGGTTTGGGTCTTCGTTTCCCTACTGGACTCGGTATGAGGATCCGGATTTGTCCTCACTGGCGGACTGTCCTGTGTTTGCTTTGGAGATTTGGCATACCTTCTGTCATTCCCGCACGCTTGAGTGGCGTGAGGTGTTGACGGTGGTCCAGGTTTTCCTGGAGGGGCGAGTTTGAACACCTCAATGAGTGTTTGTTGGCCCCTGCTCCTCCTCTGGATTTGGGTGTCATGCAGCTTCACATGCAGGTTCCCTCCCTTTCGGCTGCACTCGTTGCTGAAGACTTGCGCGCTCGTGGTCTGCTGGCCTTGGCTTTGCGTTTCTTTTCCCTTCTGGAGTTGTCTTTGACTGGCTTGTGGAGGATTTAGAGAAGCTTGGGGCCGTTCCTGAGTCTGGCGCCTTGGGCTCGGTGGCACTTGCGTCGGCTGCCTTGTTGTAGCTATTTACTCTGATCCTGCAGGATGCAGAGTCGCTGTTTTATGCCTCCTGGCTCGCGTGTCGGCAGGCGGTGCTTGCTTCTTGCTTGGAATCTGCTTGGGCCCTGGCTCTTAGAATGTCTTCGCCTTTTTGTTCCCTGCTGTTTGCTGATTCTGTGGTGGCAGAGTATATGCCGGTGGCTTCTGCTAGCTGTCATCCGATGTCCGACTTGTTGGTTCTCCAGGGATCCCGGGGGATCTTCCCAGAGGGTTCGTGCCAGGTCTCGGGGTTCCGCTTGTCGTGGTATGCCACTGGTGCCAGTTTCGGTGTGGCATCACCTTCGAAACCGTCATCATCTGGTCGGTGTGGTGTTTGCTCTGTGCGCAGGTCGGGTTCTTGTAAGAGGCATCGACGCTTTCGCAGTTTGTCCCATTGACAGGGTGATAGGGGAAGAGGCTTGCTCTGTTCGCTCATACCTGGTCCCACAATTTGTGGGCGTTTCAGGTAAAAATGCAGTATTTTTACCGGGAAGTTCAAAAGTGAATATGTTAACAATTTTTGGTACCACAACCAACATAATTTAAATTCCACACACACTATAATTAGTGTGTGGCTGGCTGGTAGGTGGGTGAGGCAAGTGGGTGAACTGACAGGGAGGGAGGAAGGGCTGGATGAATAGATGGATTTCCAACTGGCTGGTAGGCAGGCACATAACATTCAGAGACCCACCACACCCCACACCCACAACCACATTCAGAGACTCGCCACACCCACTCCAGATCCCCCACACCCACTCCAGCCTTCCTGTGTGCTTGCATAATCCCTTCCAATGGCTCCCTCCTTCCCTCCCTCCCAACCCTCGAGAACACTCAATTGTCCCCCTTCTACCCATGCTATATCCCCATCCTCCCCTCCTAGCTCTTCCGGAATGGGATGAATGAGGGCATGGCATGGGTAGAAGGGGGAGGATTGAGTGTTCACAAGGATGGTAGGTGGAGAGTGGCAGGGAGGGAAAGATGGAGTCAGGCAGTGATGGAGGCAGGGAGGGAGGGAGGGAGGGAGGGAGGGCGGCATCTCAAAATCCCACACAAATACACACACACACCCACTTGCACATACACATCCCCCACATCCCACACTCACCCCCCACGTCACACACACATCCCAAACCCCCACATCACACACACATCCCAAACCCCCACACAAATACACCCACATCCCTACACACACCCCTATACACCCCCACACCCACCCACACCCCTCTACACACTCCACACTCACCCACACACATGCACTGCACATACACCCACACCCCTACACACACCCCTATACACCCCACACCCACCCACACACATGCACTCCACATCCACCCACACCCCCTACACACACCCCTATACACCCCACACCCACTCACCTACACAAACACACCCACCAGATCCCTACACAAACACACCCACCAGATCCCACACTCGCCCCCCCCCCACACACACACACACACACATCCCTAGCCCACACACACACCCCACACCAACCTACACATACACACACCCACCACATCCCAGACAGTCCCTCCCAACTCACCCTCTCTCCAACACCCCCTACCCTGAAACCAGCCACCTCAACACCTCCCATACCCTGCATCTCAAGCCACTGCTACAGTATGACCCGATGCCTAACTGCATTATCCTGCGAAACCTTCGGTTATCCAAATTCCTTTTCTGATATGGTGAAGTTTTTATCCGGCTTCAAAAACAGCCGAATAACCCAAAGATTCGGTAAAGTGGGCTTCGCACAAGCGAGCTTATACAGTACTATAATAATAATAATATGATATGTGATGCAGTAGTAGTGTCTTTAGAAAGATGCTAAGGTGAGAGTTTACCAAAATTGTATTAGTCACATGTTGATCTCTTGATATGGACTACACAAGCTCACGTCTACTTACCCATGATGAGTAAAATTTAAGGCTGCTAAACATAAAAAAAAATCCATTCTTGTTAATTTGGTATCACCAGATGAGAGAAAGCTGCTCATTTAGAGACACAGATCTGTTGCTACTCTGATCTAATCAATAAATCTACATCATTTCTTTAGATGTTATCATTTATACATTGTAAATAGTGTCCAGTTACATCTGAGATATTTATAAATATCATTCATTTGTATTGTGTGTTTCAGTGCGATTGTTGTCAGCTGGAGGACCCGTCAAGTGTGGTGACAACCTTACCAGACGTCAGCGTGGTCTACAAGCTTCACTTGGAGTGTGGGCGCCTCATCAATTTGTATGACTGGCTTCAGGCCTATATTTCAGTGGCTGATCCAGAGGAAGATACATCCAGCAAGAATGCAATAGATCAGAGACTTCAGTATCCTTTTCTTACTGTTTAAGCTATTAAAGTATTTACTAGTACATCCATGTTATTGACATAAGTATAAATGCAAATATAGTGATTGTGCAGTAAAACACAGAAGTAAGAATAGAACTTCTCCTTGCATATAGAACACCTTTATGTTAGGGAGAAGGTAGTGGGTAGTAGGAAAGATTTTGTTAATTAGCATCCCAAGAAAAATGTGTGCGAGGGTGTATGTTGAGAGAGTAACAGAGAACAAAGAATAGGATAGGGAAGGAACAACGTATGTTTTGGAAGGGAAGAACGTGTATAAAACATTTATTTACCCTGAAAATGGTTACTGCAAAGTTTCTTGTTAAGGGGACACCAGCGTTGAATGCAATGAAATGCCTCTTTCAAGGAAGAGTCCCAGTAGCTCCCTGAAGCTATCTCGCCGAGATGGCTTCCTACTATTGGGACACATGAGCCCATTTGGCCTACCAAGGACCAGAGCCAGAACGTGTCTCCTTCACAGATACACAGAGAGCAGAGTCATATTGTCAGTCATATTGTCATCACCCCACGAGGAAAGCATCCAGAAAGTCACTTAAGCTATACAGACGGCTGCAAGTTTCATAGCACTTGAGGCAATGAGACGGCCAAACAACTTTGCAATCTGCTCAGGAGAAACAGTGAACCACTCAAACTAGCATTAACCCATTAATGCCTCTAGCTGCCCCCAGGTGACCCAGAGCCCCAGCTCACAGCTGACTCCATAGCCAGTCTAGAGCCTAACCAATGAACCTGGTATGGAAGGAGAGAGGGAGCAAGGGCTCTACTCGAAAGAGGCATTTTATTACTTTCAATGCTGTTTTCTGGGAGGAATGTCTTGGTGCCTTCCTGAAGCTAACAATCCAGAGAGAAAAGGAGTCGAGAGACATGCCAGAGAGTAGGAGAGATGGCAAATACTATCACAAAGAAGAGATAACAGGCTGGGAACCTTGTCCAGCAATACACACACACGATTGACAAGGATGAACAGCAAGAACCAAACAAGGGCACCACAGGACCCTGTCTGAACACCAAAACCCCGAGCCTGTAAAAATAACCCATTCCATGGGTGAGAAAACTGCAGCCAGCACAGAGTACAAATTAACACCACGGGCCCCCCGAGGACAGACTATAGGCAGACCTGCCATGAAAACACTGCCAAGAACTAGAGGAAAATGAGCCTAAGAACAGGGACCAAAGAAAACAGGGTCAACTAACATGGTAGCCACTGTGACAGAACTGATGGCACAGAGGCAGTGGCAAAATGCCACTAGTTGGTATAACAAATGCTGCATCCCCCTAGGTGGATAATAAACAAACCCTCTCCCACCCATTCCACTTCCGGAGGAGAGTACAAACTCGCCAGTCTCTACACCAGAAGAGGAGGAGCAAGGACAGAAGAGAAGGAGCAGGGACAGAAGAAGAGAAGGGACAGAACAGGAGGAGCAGGGACAGAGCAGGAGGAGCAGGGACAGAAGAGAAGGAGCAGGGACAGAAGAAGAGAAGGGACAGAACAGGAGGAGCAGGGACAGAAGAGAAGGAGCAGGGACAGAAGAGGAGGAGCAGGGACAGAAGAGAAGGAGCAGGGACAGAAGAGAAGGAGCAGGGACAGAAGAGAAGGAGCAGGGACAGAAGAGAAGGAGCAGGGACAGAAGAGGAGGAGCAGGGACAGAAGAGGAGGAGCAGGGACAGAAGAGGAGGAGCAGGGACAGAAGAGAAGGAGCAGGGACAGAAGAGAAGGAGCAGGGACAGAAGAGGAGGAGCAGGGACAGAAGAGAAGGAGCAGGGACAGAAGAGAAGGAGCAGGGACAGAAGAGAAGGAGCAGGGACAGAAGAGAAGGAGCAGGGACAGAAGAGGAGGAGCAGGGACAGAAGAGGAGGAGCAGGGACAGAAGAGGAGGAGCAGGGACAGAAGAGGAGGAGCAGGGACAGAAGAGGAGGAGCAGGGACAGAAGAGGAGGAGCAGGGACAGAAGAGGAGGAGCAGGGACAGAAGAGGAGGAGCAGGGACAGAAGAGGAGGAGCAGGGACAGAAGAGGAGGAGCAGGGACAGAAGAGGAGGAGCAGGGACAGAAGAGAAGGAGCAGGGACAGAAGAGGAGGAGCCGGAGGCGAGAGACAGGTGACACCAATAACACAACCAACTGCTCACAATGCTGGCAAAGACCTGCGACTATATGTCGCTTGCCACTCTAGTCTGAGTGGTTCACTGTTTCTCCTGAATAGATTGCCGAGTCGTTTGGCAGTCTCATTGCCTTGTGTGCTATGAATCTTGCAGTTGTCTGTAAAGCTTCACTCTGACTTTATGGATACTTTTCCGGTGAGGTGACGAGAATACTTCCCAGCTCTCTGCACCCCTGTGAAGGGGCCAGGTTCTGGCTCTGGTATCTTGTAGGGCAAATGGACTCGTGTGACCCAGTAGTGGGGAGTCATCTCAGCAAGATAGCTTCAGGAAGCCATCAAGGAAGGGGGGGCTCCTCACAGAAGAGCTGTATACTGCCTTTATGGATTTAAAAAAATGTATATGATTGGAATAATCAGGAAGCATTATGGGTGGTTATAAAGAACTGTTGAGTAAGTGGATTGAGTAAGGGTATTCTGTTTGAAAAAATAGATACTGTATTAACATGGATTTTGTGGAGCCTTATAGTTGCAAAGTAGTGAACTGTAGTACAGTAGTCAACTATAGGATAAAAATTTGGCAAGAGGTACTAGAAGAGGTAGTAAGCTCTATAGACTTGTGGGCAGTATTAGATAAAATGAGAGTTTAGATGGTGAAGTAGGAGCGACAGAGAAGTGAGATAGCTTCAGGAAGCCATCAAGGGGGGGGGGGGGCTCCTCACAGAGGAGCTGTATACTGCCTTTATGGATGAGAAGAGTGGTAGGAGAGGTGAATAGTATAATGAAGAGAAGTTATGTTAGTGTGGAAGGGCTCAAATAATACCAGCAGTTTAAATGAGTGCTCAACTACTTGTACTGGTTGGTAGACCAACACCTCACTACTTGCACTTCAGTATTGGTGCCCCAACTGTCTTAAGTGGTTGGGCATCATTCCTTCCCCTATCCTATTGCACCTCCTTGTCCTCATATCCCATCCAAGTGCTATATAGTTATACTGGCTTAGCACTTTTTCCTGATAATTTCCTTACCTTAAATGAGTACTTTTATCACTGTAGCTGGCATAGGTGTGTGGAATGGGTATAGCAATGAGGAATTATACAAGTAAAAGAGATGAAGGAATGTAATGTGTTGTAGAGTGCCTGAAGCACAATCCATTGAGAAAGTATAGACATGATTGTAGACTGCATGGTTACGTGTAATGAGAAGAGTGTACACGCACAGGTGAAATGAAGGGATCGTGTTGTAGAAGCAGACAACCCATATTTTGGATGGGAAGAGTGGAACAAAAAATATATATATAAACTTGCCTTCTAATGCGTTGTGTGCGCTTTCCTCTGAGGCTAAGGGTCCCCCTTCTTCCAGCCAGAGGTGGTACTCACTTCTATATAATATATATAATATATATATAATTTATTTATTTTAAGTATTAAGTAAAGATTAATTTTAATTGAGCTTAGGAGCCATTGTTTTCCTTAACAGCTTACCAGAGCACGGTTTGTTCAGGCTGTGTCTGAAATGCAGTTTTTAGGCTTTGTTAAAGCAACTAGTCGCAAAACTGATCATGTGGCCAGGCTGACGTGGGGCGGGTGCTAACATCACGAATGCCTTAAACATCATGCGACGAAGACACCTCTAACAATAAATGTCATTTATTTAACCAGTATATTATTATGCAATGGTTAAATCAAACAATTGTCAAGATTCCTAAAGTAATTATTAATTTTTGTTTGATTATATTTTTCAATACAATTTTATGAATTTTATGATTAAGAAATCAATAAATGTTAAAATATTTTTTAATAAAACTGCATCTGTATTTCTTAAAATTTTATCCAATTATTGTTTTTTATTGTAGTGAAACATCAAATACAGGTCTGGGCTCAAGTGCTAAAAGGTTAAATAGCTTACTGTATTAAGGCTGATGTACAGTATTGCTCTCAACTTACCATTAACTAAATGTATTATTAACTGCTTCCAAATGTAACCCTTAAAACTGCGCAACAATTCATATGACATGTTGAGTAACTGTCGCGAAAGTGTGCACCACTTCATATGACGTTTTGGGGTACCACGCAAGATTTAAACGGCTTGCAGCTACATGGGGTTCACAGCAGCTTCCTCAGGGCTCTTGTAAACAGACGCCATTTAAAAAAAAAAAAATTATGGGCAACATTCCCACTATTACAAGGCAACAAAAGTGCCTTTTCGCTCTTGCCCTTCTGCAGGCTGTTGGCGCGGTTCAGCTTCACATGCAAGTTCCTTCCCTGTTGGCTGCGGTTGTGGCTGAGGACTTGCGTGTGTGTAGCTTGTTGGCTTCAGTCCTGGGTATCTTTTCCCTCCAAGAGCTGTCTTCGAATTGGCTTGAGGAGGATGTGGAGGCGCTTGGGTCGTTCCTGGGTCTGGCGCCTTGATCTTGGCTGCTCATGCGTCGTCTGCAGTTTTGAAGCTGTTTGCGCCAATCTTGCGGAATGCTCTGTCATGATTTTTCGTGGTGCATCTCGCGTGTCGACAGGTTGTGCTTGCTTCATCCTTGGAGTCCACTTGTGCCCTGGCTCTTAGATTGTCTTCGCCCTTTTGTCCTTTGCTGTTTGCGGCCTCTGTGGTCGAATGGCATATGCAAGCGGCTTCTTCTAGCTGCCTCCCTATGTCTGACTTGTTGGTTCTCCGGGGGTCCCGGGTGGGTTCTTCCCGGAAGGGTTGTACCAGGGCTCGCAGTTCCACTCGTCGGGGTAGGCCACAGTTGCCAGTTTCGGAGCTGGTGCCACCTTTGATCCCGGCTGCACCTGGTCGGCGCGGTGCTCTGTGCGCAGGTCGGGTGCTTGTAAGTGGCATCAGCCCTTTTGTGGTTCGCCCCATTGACGGGGCGATTGAGGGGTTCATCCGCGGTTCAGGGACTGGCTCGGTTTTGTTGTGGAGCTTCAGAGTTACCACTTTCATTATCCCCCTTTCGATTTGAACCTGGCACCTTGTGTATTCACACATCTTTCCTGGGTCGTCATGACCCATCTGCATCTGTTAGGTGTTCAGGTGTTGGCTTACCTCGACGACTGGCTGGCTTGGAGCTCCCAGTCAGTTCACGTGTCTGCTCGCCAGGGGTTTGGCGCTTTTCCATCTAGCCGGGTTCGTGTTCCTGGTGAACTGGCAGAATTAAGTCCCAGCTGGTTCCCTCCCAGGTTTGGACCTGGCTGGGTCTTGTGTATGACTCTTGGACCTCTTCCTCGTCTCTCCCATCATAGTCTTTCTTTTGGCTGCAGTCCCGCATGTGCTTGTTTCTGGGGGGCTCCCGGGTCACCCGGCGGTTGCTTGAAGGTCTTTGCAGGAGCCTGAAACTTGCGATGGTGGTCTACCTGCCGGGTTGGGTTTGGCCTCGTCGGCTGTTCTGGTTCCTTCGGGGACGTTCTACCGCCTCTATCGATCACTGGGTTCGACCCCCAGGGGACTTGTCAGCTGCTGCGTCGCCGACTTCTTCTTTGGGTTTTTCGGGGTTCAGTGCCTTGGCGCCTACCTGAGCCCTCACTAGATTTGTTCACAGATGCGTCGTCTCTTGGCTATGGCTTTATGACCAGTGCTCACCAGGCTGGCCAGGGACGGTGGGGTCCGTTCTTCCGTCGGGCGCACAACGCAGCGTAGGAGTTCGCGGATGTGTGGATGTCACTTTGGAGGGTTTGGGTTGCGGATCGACGATCCGGCTCCATTCGCACTGCTCTCCGGTAGTTGATTGCCTGAACCGAGGGGATTCGATGCAGTCCTTGGCTCTTGGGGCTGGACGCTTCGGGTGACTCGTCTGCTGAGTTCTCGGGGTTTGGCTCTCCTGGCCGTTCACGTTCGGGGGTGTCCAACGTCTTGGCAGACAGCCTGTTGCGGTTCATTCCCATTCATTCCATTCATTCCACGGGATGGATAGTCGACCCCGACTCCTTCAGATGGCTCTGCTAAACGTACAAGCTCCCGGAGGTGGACCTTTTCGCATCAGCGTGGTCGAGGCGTCTCCTGTATAAGTAGCGCCCTTCCCCAACTGTGAGGCCATCGGGGTCAATGCCTTGAGGCTATAGTGCTGCCATAATAATAATGATAATTTTTATTTACATAAAGGTTTAATAGGTTGGTGAGATTACATAAGATTGGTATTTTTACATACATGTACAGGTGGGGTTACCTGTACCTCTTTTCCCTGAACCGCTGTTGCTCCAGGTCCAAGCTCGCTTGGAAACTTACCAGGGAAGAGTAGTCTTCTTGGCTCTTTGGTGGCCGGCTAAGCCTTGGTTTCAGGCGTCGCTTGCTCGGTGTCTGAACCTGAGGGCCTTCCCGCAGGTTCCGCCTCTTTCAGTCCGTTACGTGGCTGGTTCGATTTTCTCCTCGAGTCTTCACGTTTGGTCTTTCTGACTCGAGTTTATCACCACTTGTGTGGTGAGCAGATGGCTTCGTTGATGGTGTCCCACCTGCGTTCTTCGTCTCGGCGGTGGTATGAAGTTTCCTGGTGGTCCTTCCATTATTTCTTGTTCCTTCGTAGGTGTACTTCTGTTTTTGTTCAGGTTGTTTTGTCTTTCCTTTCGTGGTTGTTCAAGGACCGTCATCTTATGCTGAATACTGTTGCCTCGTATCGTGCGGCGCTGGTGGAGCAGCTGTAGTTTGAATTCGGCGTTGATATTATTTTCGTGCCGTTCAGCAAGATGTCTCATGTGCTGTTTCACCTCTGGCCTGCTCATGCACCGCCTGAGCCGTCATGGTCGTTGGACCGGGTGCTCTCCTTCCTCTCTTCTCCTCGGTTTGTGGTGGCTTCTTCGGTTCATGTTTGTTTGACAAAGATTTTTTCTTGTTGACATTGGCCTCTGGGGGTCAAGTCAGGGAGCTTTATGCTCTCCTGACCCCCCCCCCCCCCCCCCTGCGCTGGCACAGGGGGTTTCTGCTCTTTTGGTCCTGGTAGTTGTTTTATTCGTTTGCAGTTGTCTCCTTTTCCAGCGAGGAATGAGACGGCTGCTTTCCAGAGGGGTCCTTGGGTCGTTGATGCTTGGTTGGTCTGGCTGGGGTACATCATGTGTTGTGTCTAGTTGCGGCTCTCTGCCGTTTCCTGCGCACCATAGCCTTGGTGGCCAGGGACGCGCATTGGGTTTGACTGGTTTTGACGTCTTCCCTGTTCCAGGGTTCGGGCCTCCCAGGTTGCCCGCTGGGTCCTTCAGTCCGGCCCGCCTGCGGTTTATCATCGTGCCCAGGACGTTTATGTGTTTGCTGTGTTGGCGATCATCTCCCGGGTTTGTCCCTCTTGTTTTATCTTTGGGTAAGTAGCTCCAGGGAGCTGAAGGGGTTCCCCCCCCCCCTCCCCACTCCCCAGAAAACCAGCATTGAATGTAATGAATCACCATTTTCTGGATGAGACCCAGAGGCTCTCCGGCAACCCTCCCTCCCTCTGGTCGGTGGTTGTTTGCATGTTTTCTGACGTCCAGCTTCAGAACTGGGGTGTGGATAACCAGTGGCAGGGGTCTGGAGCTTCCCCTTCCCCCCTTCTGGCGAGGGGGGGGTGCTCCACAGACAAGCGGCGTGGTGACGTGGAGACGTGATGCTCATTTACTCGTTTTCGTTTGGGTAGTTCAGTCCACTAGTTCGGCTTTCAGTAGCAATTTCTTAACCAGAACAGGGGTTTGTTTTGGGGCACTTATCTTTCTGGGTACCTGACCAAGTCAATGGCAGACATAGAATGCTTCCAACCTCACGGGGGGTTTCTATAGGCCATTGCTCCTCGTGCCTCTGTGAAGGGGCCAGGTTCTGGCTCGTGGTCCCCTGTAGGCAAGAACTCCTAGCACATTGACTGATGGCAGAAATCTAATATATCCATATCAGCCTGGATAGCTCCGGGAAGCCTCCGGGTCTTATCCAGAAAATGGCATTTCACTACATTGAATGCTTGTTGTTTTTTCTTTATTCAGTTCATACAGTTTTAAACTGATATTAGAAACATAAATTAACATGGAGGGCTTTCTATATTAAATGGTGCTCAAAATGGCAAAGTTGAGAAGTGAAGTGTAGGTATAGAGTTCCAGCTAATTTAATACAACAATTATGATGTTCTTTATTTTATAATATCGTATTTTATAGAAATTACATATGCCTGTACACTCGTTCCTTTAGAAAATAGTTATAATTACCTAAGTGTAGTTAAAGGATTATTGCTATGCTCGTGGTGTCCCATCTTCCCAGTACTCTATTGCTATATGTTGCTTTGAGTCTACAGATGGTTTTGGCCGCCACCAACTACTCACTTACCATGTTCCAACCGTCTACCACTCTCTTTACAAAAGATAACTTCTTAATTTTTTTTTTTTTTTTTGGGGGGGGGGAGCCTTTGTTTCCTTAGCTTGAGTCTGTGACCTCTTGTTCTTGAAGATGCAAGTCTCAAGAATTCTTCTTTATCAATTTTGTCAATTCCTGTTACTATTGTGAATGTAGTGATCATATCACCTCTTTTTCTTCTATCTTCTATCCTAACATTACAATAAATCACTTAATCTTAATCTTAATCCCTGATATTCTTAAAAAGGCTGGACCAATCCCAGTCCATAAACATGGTCATCTCACTGAAATAATAAACTTTAGACCTGTATCAATCCTGCCCGCCTTGTCCAAAATATTTGAAGGCCTTTTGATGCTCTAATTAATGTGTTTGACTTGACAAAAATGAGTAACCCCCATAGGTCTGTTTGTTGACCTGCATAACACATTTGGCACAGTTAACCACAATAACCTTCTCATGTAATCAGGGGTCACTTCCTACAGTACTTCAGATCTTACCTCAGTAACAGGCACTAGTGTCTGTGGATGATGCTGCTTCTCCCACACTG